TAAAGGATAAAATTATGCTGGCAGCCAGGAATACATCTACACTACCACCGTCATATGCAAATATCCGGTTATTTGCGGATCTCTCCAAGACCACGTTGCTCAACCGCAAGAAGATGATTACCATTACTAAAGCCTTGAGGAATCATGGTATAGCATATCAATGGGGATTCCCCACGAAACTAACCGTAAAACAACACGGTAAAACCTTCGTCATTAAAAATCTCGAAGCAGGCCTAGACCTGCTTAAAACCTGGAAAATAATACCCAAAGACACACCACAAACTGCACCTACTCATTCTCAGAGTATGGAAGCTGATTAAGCGTGTCACTACTCGCACCTGCTATAGCATCAAAGTAGCACCTCAAAGATGTCATTTCCCCTCAATAATTTCTGGCGATCGGCCGAGTTTTCTTTTTCTGGAGTTCTATGTTACTAGAAACTGTTTGGCTTGACCTTTTTTACAGCCAAAGCCTGTTTGAACCCCCCACATCTGAAGTAGCAACACCAGCTACTCAGACCACTTGCATTTTCCGCAAGTCTTTTTTTTACACCCCTCCTTTTTCCCTTTCACCTCCCTCCTTGACACCATCACCAGTCGCTCAAATCCGCCTTATTACCTACAGTTTAATGATGAATTTTCATGGAAACTTCACCTTGATCCAGCAACCGAATCTAAACCGATTTCTCAGTTTCGATTACCTCCTCCTCCACATAGATATGCTCGCACAATTTCACATCCCTTCAAATATCACCTCAAACATTTCGCTTAGCGTTTCAAGACCTGCACAATGATCAACATCACATCCCTTAATGTCCGTGGCTTAAACTCTCCATTCAAGAGATCAATGCTCCAAAAAGAAACTAAGAAATTTCAGACCGATATAGTCTTTATCCAAGAATCCCACTTTGCTACAAACAAGATACCCAAATTCCACCTCCATCGTTTCCCAAACATCTTCATGGCCACGAACACTAAAAAAAAAAAATGGAGTCATTACAGCCATAAAAGACTCTATCCAGTTCCAGCACATATCAGAAACCGTTGACCCTCAAGGTCGATACCACATCCTAATATGCCAACTAAATAACAACCTCTACACTTTGGTGAACGTATATGGTCCCAACAAAAACCAGCTGCAATTCTTTAACAAGCTTTACAACACTATATCTTCACTAAAACAAGGTAGAATTATCATTGGAGGAGACTTTAATATCATCGGCAATCCGCAACTAGACTCATCTTTTACTAAAAGATCATCTAAACAGGCCTTCAATCAATTCCTACATAACCATGACCTCTACGACATTTGGAGATGTCAACATAGCACCGAGAAAGACTTCACCTACTACTCCCCCTCACATCTTTCATACTCTAGAATCGATTTTTTCCTCACGGACAAATGGACACTGCAACATATATTATCAGCTACAATTGGCACAATTACATGGTCAGACCATGCTCCTATCCACATCTCAGTGGACGAAAACCAACGTTCAGCAATCCCGCCAATTTGGAGACTAAATTCTGCAATCCTGAAGAACCCTGAACACCAGAAACATATTTTAGAAGCTCATAATCTATTTTTTGAGACTAATGCAACTCCGAACATGCCTATAACCACGCTCTGGCCCACCTATAAGGTTTACATGAGAGGTATCCTCATACAATTAAACTCCCGCATTAAAAAACAAAGATCCCATCAAATAGATCAAATTCTTTCCTCCATTAAAAGTAATGAGGAAATTAATAAAACCGCCCCAAATGCCACCATAGCCGCGACCTTGGCCTCTGACAGAAACAAACTACGCACGCTTTTGTTACACGAATACGACCTTAACCTACAGAGAGCTAAATCCAAATTCTACGCACTTGGTAACAAAGCAAACGCACTCCTATCAAAAATGATTAAACAACAACGACTTAAAACAAAGATAGCCACGATTAAACATCCCACTACTCACGCACTACTAACAAACCCTCGAGACATATCCGACGCTTTTGCGACGTATTACCACACACTATACAACCTTAAAGATGATATTGATAGGACCCAACCCACCACCACTACCATTCAAAATTTCCTAGACAATACCAACTTACCCCGTCTCTCAACATCCCAACTTACTTCGCTATCGATACCCATCAGCCCTGCAGAAATTGACCGTAGCATAAAAACACTACCCCTAAACAAATCCCCAGGAAATTACGGTTTTACCAACGAATACTTTAAAATAATGGCATCCAACCTTACAACACATTTATCTGAATTATTTAATCATGTTGCCTCTACGGGGATTTTCCCCTCTGAAATGCTACAGTCAGTAATTACAACCATTCCCAAACCAAACAAAGATCCCCAACTGGTACAAAACTATAGACCGATCTCTCTATTAAACACAGACATAAAGATATATGCCAAAATAATTGCCCAGAGATTACTCCCTTACCTTCCCACGCTAATCCATCCTGACCAAGTAGGTTTTGTCCCCGGTGGACAAGCACCGGATGCTACTAGAAGAATAATATCCCTCATCCACAAGCTTGAAACCACCAAACAGCCCTCATTACTACTATCTTTAGACGCTGAAAAAGCATTTGATCGAATCCATTGGCTTTTTATGAAACTCACACTCCAAAAATTTGGTCTTTTAGATTGGATGTTATCGGCAATACTCGCCCTCTACTCCAAACCCTCTGCTACAGTTCTAACTAATGGTACACTCTCCAAACCCTTCCAAATTTCTAATGGCACTAGACAAGGCTGCCCCCTCTCGACCATAATCTTCACTCTATTAATTGAACCCTTGGCCTCTAGACTTAGGGACGACCCAACATTCACAGGTATTACACATTCCAAAATGGATCACAAAATTAGCCTTTTTGCTGATGATATTATCCTAATGGTCACTAATCCCTACAAATCTCTTCAATCGATACGCATGCATCTTCACAACTACTCAGAAGTCTCCTACTACAAGCTCAATGAACCAAAATCCTCCATCCTAAACTTATACACCCCTCCTAAGACCCAAAATATGCTGAGCAAGCATTTCCCTTTTACATGGGAATTACACAACATTCCATACCTGGGAATAAAGCTTACGTCCTCAACTAACCAATTATATGAAGCTAATTATAAACTTCTACTTAACTCCATTCCACGAGAGCTCAAACAATTACATACACCAACATTATCGACAATGGGTAGAATAGCATCTTTAAAAATGTGCATTTTACCTAAAATACTTTACATTTTCCGTACTCTCCCTATTCCAGTTCCTAATACCTTTTTTTCTAAACTCCAAGCGATACTAAATAAATTTGTGTGGTACAACAAAAAGCCTAGATGTACAACAAATCTACTAATAAGACCTCCTTCTAGAGGGGGAGCAGGCCATCCCCATTTAAAATCTTACTACAACGCTGTGCGCCTAGATCAGCTCTTCTTTTGGTGGCATCCTACAAAAGATAAATTGTGGACTCACTTAGAAATTCCGTCACATCTCCCATATACTCCTGATAATCTATTATTCCTCCCTCTAAATAGCCAAATTCTTCCATTCTCTAAGCACCCATGCATAAAAGCCTCTTTACAAGCCTGGTCTGACCTCTTGTCCTCTCATTACCCAGACAATGACACAACAAAAATTCCTACTCCAATTTCTACATTACACCTCATCATCCCATCACTAAACCTCACGCACTGGGAAAATCAAGGTATAACCCGTATTCGAGACTTATATACGGATCATAAACTAAAATCCTTTGCTAATCTCCAAACAAAGTTTTACCTCCCTGACAATGAAAAATTCACATACATGAGAATTGCCCATGCTTTACATATAATAGATATACCTATAGAACTAATAATTCCCTCCAGGGCACACCTCTTCTTCCAGAGATCTCATTACCCCAAGAAGGGAATCTCAACCTTCTACTCAATTATAAATCACACTCAGTTTGATATACATACTACTTCCCTGACTAACTGGGAAAAAATATTCCGCCAACCAGTCTCTCCTTACACTTGGTCGAAAACCTTCAATACCACATACAAGGCATCCAAATGTAATTCCCATTGGGAAGCATACATGAAAATCTTACATCAGTGGTATCTAACGCCTGTTAAGCTCAATCTTTATTACACACAACATTCGCCCAAGTGCTGGAGACACTGCGGAGAAATAGGAACGATCCTCCATATACTTTGGTCATGTAAATCTCTCACATCGTACTGGAACAAAATATTTCAACTGATCTCCGCCATATCGAAAGTTCCAACAAATCCAAGCCCAATTACAGCTCTCCTTCATATAGGAATAGAAAATTTCCCTGTGGACTCTCGTACTATCATAATTCATATACTAGCAATAGCAAAAACTAATATCACTAAATTATGGAAATCCACTACATCCCCTTCGATCTCAACCCTCATTATAGAGCTTAATCTCCATTGTGAGATGGAAAAGAGAACAGCTATCCAAAATTTTTCATACCACAAATTCTGCTTTCAATGGTCTCGGTGGCTTCAAGACCCTAATTGCTCTGTTAAGTGATAACTATAATAATATACCACCATACTGTAGTCAACATATTTGACTGGTGCCCCCCCCCCCCCTCCTCTCCCTCCCTTCTAACCCTTCTCCCCTCTATGGTTTATCACATTTTCACCCACACTAAGTTCGCAATCTCCTGAGGCTACCTCTCAAGTATTCGAGGCCCTGCTTCATCATTCCCAGCTAAATAGTGGGAATTTGTTTTATCTAATATTCGCTTGTTTTTCTTTTGATTATACATTTTATTGTGAACATTGTTCGTACTATATTACATTATACTTGTAACACGTTGTGATAAATTGTTGAAAATTCCTTCAATAAATACTATTTGAATATAAAGGTGGAAAACGTTCTGAAATTATTTATCTTTGTCTAATTTTTTTACATCACAGAAACCTGACATTTTAACAGGGGTATGTAAATTTTATATATCCACTGTATGCAGGGGCGGACTGACCATTTGGAAACTCGGGCACTGCCCGAGGGCCCGGGGTCAGTAGGGGGCCCCGTTAGATGCCCCTGGTACCTTTTTCATAGGCTTTTTGAGTTTGGGAAAAGACACAGGGGCCCCATGATCCCCTATTGCCTGGGGGCCCCATGAGTTGTCAGTCTGCCCCTGACTGTATGTATACAGTATAATCTTCACTTATTTAAAGTGTAATATAATGCAACTCAGTACATTCACCATAAAACAATGGAGTTGATTTACTAAAGGCAAATAGACTGTTCACTTTGCAAATGCAAGCTTGTTGAATGTGGTAAAGCTTCACTTTGTAAATAATACCCAGTCAGGTGCAAGAAAAATTTAAATAAAATTTTTGGTTGTACATGATTGGATGATGGAATTGAGCAGAACTTCAACACTTTCACTAAGCTCTGGGAAAAATGAGTGCAACTGTAATTGCAAAGTGCAAAGTCTATTTGCATTTAGTAAGCCAACGACAATGTGTCATCTAAATCTAAAGCAAATAACATCAAAAAATATTGCACATTAACATATATTACAATAAGCGTCTTTAAAGTGTCAGAGCAATAACTGGTATATGGTGAACGTACTGAGTTGTGATATATTATACTTTGAGTAAGTGGGGTTTGTTATGTCACCACTGAGTTAAGGTGACTAAGATTTATCATTTTACATTTGTTTATGTTAGATGTATTGGGATTGACTTACTAGAACTGGAGAGTGCAGCTTCTAACTTCAGCTTCTTCAATTAGCATTGACAATAAAACCTGGAAGCCAAATGGTTTCTATGCAGAGCTGCACCAGAATTTGCACTCTCCAGTTTAAAGGATATGTTCACCTTTTGACCAAAAATAATAAATGCCCATTTTTGCAGGTAAAAAAATGTGCATTTATTATTTTGGTTGCAGGAGCCTGTGAATCCATTGCACCAGCAATCCACTGCACCAGCGATCTCCTGCAGACCTGTCAGTATATCTGCTTGCTTGTAAGGGATATACCGGCAAGCAGAAATACTGACAGAAAGACACAAAGATCCACAGCGCCATGGTAATTCATAGAGAACTACAAATCAACAGCTGCTAAGGCTGGCCATACATTATACAATTTTCTTTAGAAAACTGCTTTAGATTTAGCAAAAACCATATAATATGAGGTCAAACCTAAACAACACTTTCAATTGTATCCAATTAGGCAGGCCCTTGCTCTACATAGTTTAAGGTAAATCTAAAGGAAATTGGGCAGAAATTGGACAGACAATTGTAAGAAAATTGTATAGTGTGCTGTTTTTAAAAAGTGACAGCTAGTACGGAGAACTTCTGCCGTAGTTTTGTCACAGGGAGGGAAATTTGATGGGGTAGTGACTGCAACATTGGGAACATGGGAACATTGGGAAAACGGGTGGATCATGTAACATGTACCCAAAGATGAACCTATCTTTTAAGTATATCAACCCCATTGAGTAGTTTTTTTCAGTGCTGCACCATTCTTTATTCAATTTTCACTGTTTATTTTTAAGCCAGTAATAGAGGGATCAAATCTCTGCGGTTCATCAGGGACTGGAAAAGATTCGATTCACCTAAGGGCAGGCTGGTTATACTGAAGTTGATACATTGATCGACTTCAGTACAACCAACCTGTCTGATTTTTTGCATGTAATTATTGCCAGAGGCTATAGCCACAAGCACTAATCATTGTGTTTTTCTGGCAGGGAAGGCTCCCCACCTGCAGAATACAATAGCACTGCAGGAGGGATTTCCCCATCAACATTGACTATGTTGATGGGGGAATCAAGCAGTTTTCTTTCCTGCAACCCATGGTGCTGCTACAATGGGGGTTTTTTTTCTGCGCCCCATTGACCTATAGTGTGCTGTGCCTAAAGTGGCTCTATCATCCATCCATGGCTTTACCCGGCCCTGTCAGATATTCATGTGCACATGTAGTCCTGTGATATAAGCTTAATGCAACTCTGCAGTTAGTGTCAGATTAGTGTTAGTGTCAGATTGCCCGCTGTACTATCAATCTCGTTAGTCGCTGATCTCGCTGATTAGTTGCCATTACTAGTGTAAAAGAAAAATAATAAAAATTCCAGTATACATAACACGTTTGTAGACATTATTACTTTCACCAAACCAATTAATATACGCTTATTGGTTTTTTTTTTGTACCAAAGACATGTAGCCCAATACATACTGGCCTAAATGTATGATGAAATGTGATTTTTTTAAATGATTTTATTAGATATGTTTTATAAAAGAAAGTAAAAAAAATATTTTTTCCCAAACTTTTCAGTCTTTATAAAAATAAAACAACACAGTGGTGATCAAATACCACCAAAAGAAAGCTCTATTGAAATTATATAAATTTTGTTTGGGTACAGCTTTGCATGACTGTGCAATTATCAGTTAATGTAGCACAGTGCTAAATGACAAAAAAAATGCCTGGACATGAAGGGCGTAAAATCTTCCAGAGCTGAAGTGGGTAAACTCTGCTAGAAAACCCCTCTCCCCTTTAAGGATTGGTACTTTTGTGGAATGGGGGGAAGTGAGCACCCAATTTTGCCAGGTACCCATTCCCACTTCTGCTGGGATTGCCTAGGCAAACGGAAGCAGGAGTTGTCCTCCCCCCTTCACCGTAGTCTTCTGTGTCATGTGACAGGTCCCGGAAGACCACAGGACCATTTGGAAAGCACAGCACTATTCATGCATGCGCAGTAAGCGCCTGGCTGTGAAGCAGCAAGCAACTGAAGATGCAGGCCCCAAAGAAAGAGGATAGCCGGTAAAACTGGCTGTGGTGAGGACACCACTTGATCAAGGGACAGGTGAGTTTCTATTTTTTAAAAGTCAGCAGCTACAGTTTTTGTAGCTGCTGACTTTTATTTTTTTATATTGTGGTTGGAGCTCCACTTTAACAAACCAACATTACAAATAGTAAAAATGGTTGAAAAAAAGGAAGTATCCCTAGTATGTTTCTGCTCAGACTGTTCATCCACTTTCATTCATCTATCCTTCTACTTCTTGCATGCATTTCCAAAAATAAGAAGAAAGTAACTTGGAGCAATTGTTAACTACTATGCCATCAGTAGAAAAAATATTGTCTTCAGAGGAAGAGCTGTGTCATCACCCTGGAGGTACAGTAGTCACTGAATATGTGAACATTACAGAATGGTAACACAATAAAAATAACATGACATGACTAGATTCCTCGACCAGCTAGATGTTGTTACTGAGATGAGATACCTGCTATAAAACATCAGTGTGTTCCTATGCTTAATAAGGATTTCTAGTAAAAATGAATGGTTCATAAAAACCTGTAAATTAGTTCACAGACCTCTTTCAGTGTTCTACCACAAAAATATACAGAAACAAGAGCAGAGCTAGGACAAGAGTACTATACTGCTGGAGATATACACACAGTAGAAGCATTTTAGAAATCTGAGGAACAGGGACTATCCAAAAAAGATTTGACCAAGAAGATAACCAAAAGAGAAAATTCACTGCCCAGTTGTTCACATACAAACCTCTCATTGTGGCTATTATTATTGCATTTGTACTGTATATAGTCTTTATTTAGAAATCAAGCTAAATTTGTGTTGCATGCTAGACTCAACTACTGGGCTATTTATTTGGTACAAGGCCATACATTTAGATGCCAAACATTGTAATTCCATGTAAGAGTTATTCCAATGCACTATTAAGTTATAATGGTACCACCAAGCACTAAAGGAACACACCTCAGATGCATTTGCAGAGCTCTACAATGCATGGTATTCCACTACATTTAAAAAAAAATCTGTGTCTATTTTCAGGTTGAGGGATAGCAGTGATGATAACACTAATAGCCTTCCCCTTCAGTATATGCTAGAATGTTGCTGTACAAGTGACAACTCTCCAGTGAATTTGCTGGATGGACGTGGAAGTAATTGGCAGGATCACTAGGTATTCAAATAACTTAAGTTATATTTAATTTTTATTTCTTTAGGGTACACCTAAAAAGTAGTGTTGGACTTGATGTTCAAGTTCAACATAAGTTCAACTACAAACATTAGGTGTTCATGTGTTCTGCACATGAACACCTAATGTGAGGGCATTCAGCAGGCTGTTCATCTGGCAAGCGCCCCATAATGCACTGCGCTTTCACAGTGCATTGAGAGCAATGATTGGCCAAACTAATGCACCTGACCACAGATCATGTGCAATGCTTTGGCCAAGCACAGGACAATGCACTGTGAGAGCCATGAGTCTTAGTGACTTTGGCCAATCATGGCTCATGGGCTAAGTCCACACCCCACACTATTTAAGGATGCTTACATAGCAGTCTTGTATAGTGTGTTGGTGTTAGTGAAGTTAGTTAGTGGTGTGTTAGGAGACAGTGTAGTGTAGTGTAGTCAGTGACAGTGTACTGCGGTGTTGTGAAGAGCAGTGGGCTATTCCCATTTTTTTTTTTTTTTGTTTAATTTTTTTTCTTTTTTTGCAGCATCGGGTTCTGTTGCTGCAACATTACTGTCCCCTCTTCTGTGTCAGAAGTGGTTTTCTTTTTCTTTTTTCTTTTTTGCTATTATATTTTTATTTTAAAATGTAATTAATTTTTTTTATTTTTTCCTGCAGCAGCACTAAAAAATATTTATGGTGTAATTGCCCCTTCTGTGTCACAGGTGTTTCTCCTTCTGCGTCAGCAGTGGCCCCCTTTTTTTTTTCGTTTCTGATTTTTTGTTTTATTTATTTATTCTATTATTTTTGCTGCAGCAGCAGCCAAAATATTCTGAGTATAATTGTTGTTCCTCCTTTAGAGTTTCAGGAGTTCTTCCTTCTGTGTCACCAGTGTTTTTTTTTTTTTGTTATTTTTTTACATTTATTTAATTTAATTTTTTTTTGCAGCAGCACTTAAAAAGCAATTGTTCATAATTGCTGTACCCCCTATTTTCTTTATGAAAAAAAAAAAACAATAATAAAACGGTTTATAGTGCACCGAGCACAAAATTATTGTTATTAATGTTATAAAAAATCCCCATCATGTTTGAAAGGCCAACAAGGAGAGGCAGATGCTCACAGGCAGCTAAAAGAGGGCAAGCAGCCTCTGTGTCCACAGTGAAAAGTATTGGTCATGGACATGGTGTATCCTCTGCAGGCAGTGCACGCTTGTCCTTTTTTTCTGGTG